GTGTAAAATTGCACAAGGCTCCCGGGTCGTCTCTGGCACAGGTGTGTGCAACCCCGGCGGGGAACGGGGCAGGCACCGGCGTTTCGGTAGCTATCCTGAGTCCCACTAGTGCCGGCTGCAGCGCGCAGCCCGCGCGGGTCGTGTCTGAGCGGGGCGGGACGCGGGATGAGCACGGCTGCGGGTTTCACTAGCAGAGCTGGGGGGAGGGGGATGGACGGAGCCGGTGTCCCGGAGTTTTCAAGAGAGCTCGGTTCATCTTAAAACAAAAAGAAACTATTTTTTTCTGCTCCTGAGATCCCCCCCGCCCCCCCAGCACTCAAGTCTGTATCTGTGGCCAGATCCGTACGGGGATGAGCGGCCAGCACGCCGAGCCCCTGGGGGAGTCTGCGGCTGCTACAAGCGTCCGGCTGCGAGCGAAGCCCCGAGATGACGCGGGCCGAGGGCTCGTGTGTGCGGCAGACCCGCGCCCGGGCTAGCGGGCGGGACGTGCACACCTCGGCTCGCCAGCAGTTAGCCCCGAGGTGATGATCTCTCCTCTTTCCGCTCCGCCAGACAGCATCCCGCTCAGCTTCGCAGGTGACAAGAAAAGGGACGGAGAGTCCGCCTCTCCCAGTGTTTCATCGGCTTCGGGGGAGTTACTCCCCGTTTCAAGCCAGCAAGGGGGAGGGAAGAGCCAGGCCCCAGGGCGTACATGCAGTGCTGGGAGCAGGGCGGGATGGCCGGAAGGCGCTCGGCGCCGCCGTGACACTGCGGCGGGCAGGGACGCCCTCTCGGTCGCGGGGCTGAGGGTTTGTGGTGACTGGCCCAGGTACCTGAAGGCGACAACAGAAGCCGCATCGCTATCGTTTCAGCGCCCAGCCACACACGCGCAGAGCCCAAAACCCGCAGCAGAAGCGGCGGGGGCGGGCCAGCGCCCTTTCACAGATGGGGAAACTGAGGCACAGAGGCAGCAACTTGCCTCAGCCCGCCCCCAGGCAATGGGCGCAGGGAGCTAGCCTCCCTCCCTCCAGCCTCCCACGGCTCGGGTGGTCTCCCGGAGGCCGGGCTCCGCCGCTTATCGGCCCTTATCTCCCAAATCCGCTGCCTCCTGTGACCTTCACGGAGGCCAAACGGCGTCGGGGTTTGTCTGATTGCGGCGTAAGCCAGGAGGCCCCCG